GCAGCTGTATTAAGAGACAGGACTTTTAGGAGATAATTAGGTTATGAAGACTCTGCCCTCATGAATAGAATGAAGGCTCTTATACAAGGGCTTGACAGCTGTGCAATATAGGGGGACCCCATCTCTACAAAAAATTTAAAAATTAGCCAGGCATGGTCCCAGCTACTTTGGAGGCTGAAGACTACACCTATAGTCCCAGCTACTCTGGAGGCTGAAGTGGGAGGATCACTTGAGCCTGGGAGGTTGAGGATGCCGTGAGCTGTGATTGTGCCACTGCACTCCAGCCTGGGTAACAGTAATACCCTGTCTGAAAATGAAATAAAGTAAATAAAAGAGCTTAAAAGAGTCCATTTGCCTCTCCGCCATGTGAGGACACCACAAGAAGACCCCCATGAGGCACAGGCCTTCACCAAACTCAGTTGTTGGTTCATTGCTGTTGGACTTCCCAGCCTCTAGAACGGTAAGAAAGAAATTCTGTTGTTAATATATTATTCAATCTAAGATGTTTTATTAGAGCAGCAAGAACAGACTAAGACAGCCATTCCTTAGATTGTCTCTTACTCCGCAAAAGTCAAATATGTCCATGGTTACAACTGAAGAAAATGGATTTTCATTCAAACTGAAAGGGACAATAGCAGAGTGATCAGGAACATGGGATGGAGTCAGACAGTTCTGGATTGAAATCCTGGCTCCAATCCTTGACTAAGGGAGTGAACTTGAACAAATTACTGAAACTCTGGGCCTCTCTTTGCTCACTTGTAAAACAAGAATTATTAAACTCCTTCAAATACTGCCAGACAATTTAATAAGGAAAACACTCCATCTTTACAAAGTCTTGGTGGTACCTCAGAAAACTGAAGTCAGCAGTGGATGTTTATAGTTTTGAGATCTGGGTTCAAGTAACCTTAAGAGTCTTTCAAGAAGGGAACTGACTGGAACTGGGCTAAGCTCGTGATGTAACCTTAGCCCAAGATGGTCAAAGGGAGGATCTTAAAGCAAGTATAGAGTGAACTATGGCTTGATGAGAGTGAGCAATTTGCTTAGGGGGAGGAGATTGTTGTCTCAGATAAACGGATGAGCCAGAATTTCCTGACACAAACAGAGAAGTTATTTGTAGGCTTACAGTCTTATCTATTCTAGGAAAAGTTTTCAGAACAAGTAACTTAAGTCATATTGAGTTCTAAGTCCAAATAGCGATATCATGTTGATGGCAATTGTCATGGTTCTCAAGAGAATGAGATCTACTTTCTGTGGTTGTTGTCAGGAGTAAATGACATTATGGTTCTAGTCTCTGCCACACAGCAGGGACTAAATAAGATATTATTATTATCCATTTCAATGTATTTTGAAAGACTAAACAAATGTAATAGCAAATTTTGACATCTCTCAAATTTTTATTGCTTTTCATAAGTAATAAGCAAAGTAAATGGCTTTCAGCTTTCCAGGAGTTTGGGAACTACTAAGGTACTAAGGTTATAGTAGAATTTGCACTTATTGAGAAAAAAAGTGAGGGGACAAAATGAAAAAACAACTGAGGGCTCTTTTTCTTTGCCATGATGCTAGTTGTTTGCATATTTGAATTCCCCCAAGGACTTGGGAGTAATTCGCTCTGCATAAGCTACACATCTTCAAGAAGAAAATTGCTCTTTTAATGCAGAGAGGTTTCATGAAATGGTGTATCATATGGAAATGCAATGCTTTCTGGAGACACAGGAGTCTCTGTTCATTCAATCGGCATATTCTCAGTTGAATCAGTAAAAATTTTTATAAGAGAAAGCTACATCTCTTCAGTCTCTGAACATACAAAGCCCAGAGGAATTTCTTGAGTATTTGTACACTTGAGTGTTTGACTTGAGAATCTTCAGATGGCAGCCGAGACTTATCCTCAGGAACAGAAGGCAACATGGTCAGCTGCCTGTTTGACTCCAAAGGCAGTGCTCATTCAATGCCTCCACCCCCACCTTTCTCCACTGAACCCTGCAGCAGCATTCTAAAGACTGCAGGAGGGACTGCCCTGGTTTTGCCCTCTTCACTCCAGGGAATCTGAAATTGCTTCACTCAATTTTCCCATCTCTAAAAGAGAGACAAAAAGTGCATGCACCCTTCATGTTTTGATATGTCATTAAAATAAATAAAATAATCCAAACTATTTAGAAGAAAACTATTAATAATAATTGTATATATTTATGGGGTACAATGTGACATTTTGATACACTGAGGGATGATAAAATCAAGCTACTTAACATATCCAGCACCTCACCTACTTATCTTTTTTTTTCTAGTGAGAACATTTAAAATCTACTCTTAGCAATTTTGAAATATACAGTAAGTTATTATTAACTATGGTCACTATGCTGTGCACTGAAATTTATTCCTCCTAACTCAAACTTTGCACCCTTTGACCAATATCTCCCCTTTCCCCATTCCCACCCTGCGCTCCCATCCTTGAGTAACCATCATTCAATTCTGTCCTTCTGTAGGTTCCACTTTTAGAGATTGCACATGTAAGTGAAATCATGGAGTATTTGTCTTTCTGTGCTTGGCTTATTTCACTTAACATAATGTACGCCAGGTTTATCTATGACATTGCAAATAACAGAATTTATTTTTTTTTTATTTTAATTATTATACTTTAAGTCCTATACATGTGCCGTGGTGATTTGCTGCATCCATTACCCTGTTATCTACATTAGGTATTTCTCGTAATGCTATCCCTTCTTTATCCCCCCACCTCTTGCTATCCCTCCCCTAGCCCCCTACCCCCCGACAGGCCCTGGTGTGTGATGCTCCCCTCCCTGTGTCCATGTGTTCTCATTGTTCAACACTCACTTATGAGTGAGAACATGCAGGGTTTGGTTTTCTGTTCTTGTGTCAGTTTGCTGAGAATGATGGTTTCCAGCTTTATCCATGTCCCTGCAAAGGACATAAACTCATCCTTTTTTATGGCTGCATAGTATTCCATGGTGTATATGTGCCACATTTTCTTTATCCAGTCTATCACTGATGGGCATTTGGGTTGGTTCCAAGTCCTTGCTACTGTGAACAGTGCCACAATAAATATATGTGTGCATGTGTCTTTATAATAGAATGATTTATAATCCTCTGGGTATATACCCAGTAATGGGACTGGTGGGTCAAATAGTATTTCTATTTCTAGATCTAGGAATCACCACACTGTCTTCCATAATGGTTGAACTAATTTACACTCCCACCAACAGTGTAAAAGCATTCCTATTTCTCTACATCCTCTCCAGCATCTGTTGTCTCCTGATTTTTTCAATGATCACCATTCTAACTGGTGTGAGATGGTATCTCAATGTGGTTTTAATTTGCATTTCTCTAATGACTAGTGATGATGAGCTTTTTGTCATGTTTGTTGGCTACATAAACGTCTTCTTTTGAGAAGTGCCTGTTCATATCCTTCGCCCATTATTTGATAGGGTTGTTATTTTCTTGTAAATTTGTTTAAGCTCGTTGTAGATTTTGGATATTAGCCTTTGTCAGGTGGGTAGATTGTAAAAATTTTTTCTCATTCTGTTGGTTGCCAGTACACTCTAATGATAGTTTATTTTGCTGTACAGAAGCTCTTAAGTTTAATTAGATCCCATTTGTCTATTTTGGCTTCTGTTGCCATTGCTTTTGGTGTTTTAGTCATGAAGTCCTTGCCCATGCCTATGTCCTGAATGGTATTGCCTAGGTTTTCTTCTAGGGTTTTTATGGTGTTAGGTCTTATGTTTAAATCTTTAATCCATCTGGAGTTGATTTTTGTATAAGGTATAAGGAAGGGATCCAGTTTCACCTTTCTGCATATGGCTAGACAGTTTTCCCAACACCATTTATTAAATAGGGAATCCCTTCCCCATTGCTTGTTTTTGTCAGATGGTTGTAGAATTTCTTTCTTTTTAAAGGGTGTCCAGTATTCCATTGTGTAAGCAATTCTTCATTATTCCAAGATATCATTACTGTGTGATAATAGAGGCAAGTGTATAAAGTAAAGGAAACTGTAGTGGGTCAAACTTACAAGAAAAATGCTGATCTAAACATCTATGCAATACATAAACTGTGTTTTTAAAAATGCAACAGCATAGAATTTCCAAACCTGCTATGGTCTTGGGAACCAAGCAGTATAACACTTGGCTCGTGACTAGATAAGATTATGTATAACAGACATTTATGTATATGCTTAATTAATCTGAACACTTACCCTACACTGTTATTGGTGTTATTAATTTGTTCAGTTTGTTAAAAGAGTTTCCTAAGCAAATGTGATTTTATTCCAGCACCTATTCTGAATCCCAAATATTTTTATATTCTGGCTTGATAACTGAGTGACTAAGAGGTCTCAGGGCCTTACTACTTGGCTTTGTATCCAGGCCTACCATTTTCTGGCTATGTTTACTTAGCCAGGTTACATAACCTGTTACTCAATTTCCTCAATGATAAAATAAAAATAATAATCATGGTCACCTCATAGGGTAGTTAGGAGGACTGAATGTGTTAATTCTAATTAAATAAAGAACAAAATGCATAGTATGTTACTTCTTATTTTTCTTGAAATTACCTGTAGGAATTTTACCATGTGACATTTACAGTGATATTGCCCTGTGGGAATACTATGTGGGAGAATTTCATAGTGGTGTTTGATATAGTTTGGATGTTGTCCCTGTCCAAATCTCATGTGGAAATGTAATCCCCAATGTTAAAGGTAGGGCCTGGGGGGAGGTGATTGGATCGTGGGGCAGCTTTCCCCCTTGGTGCTGTGCTCACCACAGTGAGTGTGTTCTTGTGAGATCTTGTTGTTTAAAATTGTGTGTCACTCCCACAACTCTTGTTCCTGCTCCTGCCACGTGAGATGCCTCACTCTCCCTTTACCTTCTACCATGATTGGAAGCTTCCTCAGGCCTGCCCAGAAGCAGAAACCACTATGCTTCCTGTATAACCTGCAGAATCATGAGTCAATTAACCCCCTTTTCTTTATAAATTAGTCTCAGGTGTTTTTTTACAGCAGTGAATGGACTAAAACATTTTATTTCAAATTTATATCCTGTATAGCTTTGCATTACAAAAAGAGCACAGAACGGGAAGTTAGGACATCCTGCTTTGAGGTCTAGCACAGCCATCAACTATGTGATCTTGGGTGAGTCACTTCACCTCTCTGAACCTGTTTCCTCAAGAAAAATAAGGAGAGTAGGCTGTCTGCATGATCTCAAGACAACACAATGTGCTGGAATGAGTCTTACAGCAAGAGTTCAAAGTTCAAGTTCTAATTCTAGAACTTGTTGAGTGTAAAATTCACAGCGAATCATATAACCTCTTGGAACCCCAGTTTCTACATCTAGAAAAAGGGGCAGAATAATATCAGAAATGCTTCACTCTCAGGACTGTGAGGAGCATAAAATTAAATAATGAAAAAAGGTCAACTATAAAGCACTAAATAAAGGTAAGATAATATTATTAAATAAAATCTCATTTAGTTTAATATTTCTGCTAAATCTTTTTATTTTCCTATAATCTTTTCCAAGTATTTGTTCTTCTGCAGGTAGAACTCTGTGGGTTGAAACCAGACTATAAAAAATCTGTTGTTGTTTTTTTTCTGGCACTCAGACTATCTGCTATAAAGAATGTTTTCCCTTAGTTAAGGTAACAGCTATAAATGTTCAGTTTGTCCCTGAGTCATTATCTGAGTCATGAGTCTGTATGAGTCAAGAAATCTAAGAAATATAGAAATGATCTATTTGTCTCCTTTCTTTTCTTTGTATAAATATCTCGTTAGATATAACCTAAGAAATAACTTGCCTCTATCTTGGGTTTCTTCATATTTTGAAGAGACTGTTGTAGAGAAATCCAGTAATGGGATATTATCTTCATTAAGACATTAAGAGTCTGTGCATATAACCTCTACACACACACACACACACACACACACACACACACACAATCAATCAATATAACCTTATGCCTCAGACAGATAGAGACTTTCTTGCCACTAGATCCCTATTAGTGCTGTCCCCTCCACCTGGAATTCCCATTCCTCTAATTTCTACCTTTTCAATTATATCTAGAATTCAGGGTTTTGCTATAATCTTAAATTTTCAGTGAGATGGATTGAGTGGTCCTTTGCCCTGTGATTAATCTTTAAGGCCAATATTCCTTTTTTTGTAGATAGTGAATCTGACAGAGGAAGAATTAAATGACTTGTTCAAGTTCACCTTTGAGGAATTTGCACAAAGTTTAACTTATGTATATTTCCCCCTGTACCCCAGGTATATCTTTTCATATCATCCTAGTCTGAACCAATTTACACCCCCCCGCTTACCCATCAGGTTCTCCTGTAACATGTATATACATGTTGCCTTGCACTGTAGTTCCTTGTGAATAGAAACCTCCCTCCCCAAAGAGTAGGTCCCACAGAAGAGTAACTATCTTATTCTCCAAATGCCTTAGAGCTTTTAGCACTGAGTATGTACCCAGGTATCACAAATTTTGTATTTGTCAAATTGAAGTGAGACATCTCAAGGATATATTTCTGTTGCCTTTCTATGAATGAGCTCAGTTTTGTATGAGTCCACTTTGATTCTCACCTAAAGAAGATCATCTGGAAACACCAAAAGCACCAGTGTAGATGCAAGAGATGGTGAAGACCTGAGGCCTACCGCTACCTTCTGCCAGCCCTGCAGTTCTGAAAGAATGAAGGCCAATGGGCAATTTGGAGTGACATGTCCTTGACACATTGAGTTGGCTGTGCTCTGAAGGCCCAAAGTGATTTGAAGCATGATTTTAATGACTGTCATTACTTCTGTCATTACTACTGGCCAATAAAAACCATCATCAGCTTGATGTGATTATCCCTCTGTTGTGCAGTGCCTCTGGACTCCAGCAAGCAACAGAGCATATGGTCTTTGCCAATCACATTATTCATCAGTGGAGGATAAAATTCACAGTAGCTCCCAGCTTGTCACAGTGGGGAATGGCTTTGGGCAAGTCACAGCTTCAACTCAGCTTGGATCTTTCAAAGATGTGAGCTCTTTTTCACAATGCCCTTCATAAAAGTGAAAATGAAACACATGCTGAATGGGACTTTTAGAACAATGAAAATCCTATAATTAGGAAGCAATAGCTAAAATTATATTATCCCTAAGAGCAAACCATAGTAACAAGTTAATGCAATTACTAATCCAGCTTTTTCAGAGATAGAAGCAAACTGTGCAATTAAATCCTTAGTCTATATTTTTTCAGGGGCCTAACGAAAGGAAAACAAATGACCTGGATCCCCTTCTTCCACCCTTGCCTCTGCTAAGCCATCAGAGGACAAGTCCCACCTCCTCTCTCTAATTTCATTTGAAAAATAAAACAGGCCTCCAACTGTGAAATGGCTTATGGATTATGCTCTACAACTGTGCACCTGGAATAGAAGGCATCATTCTTTATGAAGGTTGTTGAGAATTTTGTATCACAGCTTCCTATTCATTATCCTGCATATCCTACTTAACAAAAGATTCACCATGCACTGACTTGTGTGTGACTCTCTGTGCACACTAAGCACTGACTGTGACCTGTCCCCAGATGAACACAGTACCAATCTAACATACCACCTTACCTGTGGCTCTTTCTCATACACACCCAATCCACTACAGACACATGATCTACCCACGATCTCCCAAACACTGTCTTCACTGTCTGGTCACTGCTCCTTTACATGTGGCATTCACTCTGCTTGCAGAGGCATTTTAGCATGGATATCTAAAGAAGGAATTACTCCCAGGCATGCCCATAAGGGGGCACTTGTCTGACACCCTGATTGACAGTTCACTACTGCAAAGAGGACAGATGAGAAGGCCGCTCAGCTCTTTGATCCTAAGGAAAAAACACAGAACCTCACTTATCTATATGTAATTATAAACTTTAGTATCCATCACTATCAAGCCAAAATAGTTCCTTTTTGGACACACATTATTAGAAATTAACAACAACATTTAGTAAATGATTGGCCCATTCTGAGCACAGAATAGCCACCTCTGAGTGAGCATTTTGATAAATCTAATACACGCATTTCTGGTTCAACAAAGTTACTAGATAAGAAGACCCAAAAGAGTTTGTAAATGGGATACAAATTTATGAACAGTTAATTTATATCCAAATCTGAAAAATTAACCTGTATTTCACTAATATGCCACCAATCATAAGACATGCCATCATTTAATCTCTCATGAAGAAGTGAAAAAACCCAATTAAACCATGACTTCATGCTTCCTGATTAGAAATTTTCATTTTTTATTATGCTGAATTTACATAAATACATATTTATTTAAACATCACAGGACCACAATATGAACATCTATGCCCAAGTTTCTGCATGCCTGGCAACCACTGCCACTCTGATAATGGTGACTGACACCATCAAGTGTAAGATGCATCCTGATTTAAGTTGTTCAGGATGCCTGCCTGTGTCACGTGAGCTTCTTATGCAACTAGCAGCCTCTCCTCACCTGACACCAGCTCTAGCCCCAGTAATGAAACTGATCCTATCTGTCCTAGGAGTCTTCTCTTCCTTGGTTTCCCACTTCTCTCACTGGGCTACTCAGTAACCAGTTAGTTGTTAAGGTTCAAGCCTTTTTTGTTTTAATTTTTATTTTTTCCAAAACTCCTCAACAATTGCAACTGTCACTTTGTTTCTACTATTATTGCCCTTGGTTTATTTATTTTTTTATTTTATTATTATTTTTTAAATTTCTTATGTTTTTAAACAAGAAGGCTGGGTACAATGGCTCATGCCTGTAATCCCAGCATTTTGGGAGGCGCAGGTGGGTGGATCACTTGAGGTCAGATGTTTGAGACCAGCCTGGCCAACATGGTGAAACCCTGTCTCTACTAAAACTACAAAAATTAGCCAGGCATGGGGGCATATGCCTGTAATCCCAGCTATTAGTGGGGCCGAGGCAGGAGGATTGCTTGAATCTGGGAAGTAGAGGTTGCAGTGAACCAAGATCGTACCACTGAACTCCAGCCTAGGTAACAGAGCAAGACCCTGTCCAAAAAGAAACAAAAAACAAAAAATCTCAAGGCTGGGCACGATAGCTCACACCTGTGATCCCAGCACTTTGAGAGGTCAAGGTGGGTGGATCGTCCGAGGTCAGGAATTGGAGAGCAGCCTGGCCAACATGGTGACGCCCTGTCTCTACTAAAAACACAAAAATCAGCTGTGTATGGTGGCATATGCCTGTAATCCCAGCTACTTGGGAGGCTGAGGGAGGAGATTCATTTGAACCTGGGAGGTGGAGGTTGCAGTGAGCCGAGATTGCACCACTGCATACCAGCCTGGGCACAACAGAGTGAGACTCCATCTAAAAAAAAAAAAAGAAAATCAAGAGAATCTTCCCTGTATCAATTGAAAAACAGTAACTGCCCCTATTCTCAATCAGGAGGACTTTATGTATTTAGAGAATAAAAAGATGTTATTACTTTTAATACCTTAATGATTTTAGTACCATGAAATTTACCATTTTAATCATTTTTATTACAACAAAAGATTTTTAATTTTTCTGCTATTGTCATATATTTTACCTCCGTGCATGTTATAAACACCGTGATACATTGTTATTATTCCCCTCCAACCCCACTGAGGCTTTTAGAGGTCTGCAATGAATTAGGGTAGGAAAAAAACAGTGATCCAGTGTGCTAGTTCAAAGACTGCCTCTCCTTGGCTTACAGGAAGCCTCCTAAACCCACCTTTTCTATCAGCCTACGTTTTTCCTCCCAGCCTTTTAAAATTGTACTACAGATGTACAGCAATATCAAAGGGAACACCTTGTCCCTGGGGCTTTAGCTACTGACTGGAAGAGAAGCATAGAAATGGCTTTAACCCTTTCCCGTGGGCATCACTAAGGTTATCCAATCATCTCATGAGCACTTGGCCAGAGCGGGTGAGATCACCCCACCACATCCTCTACATGCACAGACACACACACCTTTCCCGCTTACTGTTGCCTTTTTATTTACTTTGTTTCACCTTTGAAGAAGCTGTTAATACTTATGCTAACCTGATTTCACCTGTATAAAAATGTTGAGGGACATGTGGGCATTCTGTGATTTGTCCTGATTCTAAATACCCCGGAGGGTGGTCCTGACCCACATAAAAACAAGTCTGCTTCAGAGCCAGCTTCTCCTCCCTCCCTGACCCCCAAACCTCAGGTGATTGCACCCTCCTCCCGCCAGTGATGGTTCTTAGAGTCTGTTCTTCCTATTTGATATTTACATGCAATGGTGTGCTGGTAAATGTTTAGCACCTGGCTCTGGGGGCGGCGATGGGGGAGTCTGGGTTTGGCAAGTTTGTAGATTCAATTTCTGTGGTGTAAACACTCCCACCATGGCTATTTCAAGCCACCAGCATGGTGTCACTGACCACAGTTAGGAAGGGACACACAGTGACAAACTGTTATGTAGTATTTCCACCACACAGATACAATGGACATAAATAACTTCAAGATCTGAGATAACAGTGAAAGGTAGTAAAACAACTAGAAAGTGATGAGTTTTGACTATTTATTACCTTTGTTAATAGTATACTTTATTTAATTATAACTTTATATAATTTAATTTCTAGTAACGGCTGTGTTTAATAACCAGCTCACAAAACTGGAAAACTTAGCAACTGGCTTTTGCAAGCCAGTATGAGAACTCCAGCCCATAAAAGTAATAAAGTATATGCTATCTTGTATCATTATTTTAAATCTTTTTTTTTTTTTGAGACAGAGTTTCGCTCTTGTTACCCAGGCTGGAGTGCAATGGCGCGATTTCGGCTCACCGCAACCTCCGCCTCCTGGGTTCAGGCAATTCTCCTGCCTCAGCCTCCTGAGCAGCTGGGATTACAGGCACTTGCCACCATCCCCAGCTAATTTTTTGTATTTTTAGTAGAGACGGGGTTTCGTTGACCAGGGTGGTCTCGATCTCTTGACCTCGTGATCCACCCGCCTCGGCCTCCCAAAGTGCTGGGATTATGTCCCCAACTAAATTACACACTTCAGATTATGAAGTTATGTCTTAAATACTTCTTTTCATTTACCATGCTGCTAAACACAAATAGGTAATTAACTTTTTTTTTTTTTTTTTTTTTTGAGACGGAGTTTCGCTCTTGTTACCCAGGCTGGAGTGCAATGGCATGATCTTGGCTCACCGCAACCTCCGCCTCCTGGGTTCGGGCAATTCTCCTGCCTCAGCCTCCGGAGTAGCTGGGATTACAGGCGCATGCCACCATGCCCAGCTAATTTTTTGTATTTTTAGTAGAGACGGGGTTTCACCATGTTGACCAGGATGGTCTCGATCTCTTGACCTCGTGATCCACCTGCCTCGGCCTCCCAAAGTGCTGGGATTACAGGCTTGAGCCACCGCGCCCGGCAACTTTTTTTTTTTTTAATGGAATCTTACTCTGTTGCCCAGGCTGGAGTGCAGTGGCATGATCTTGGCCCACTACAAGCTCCGCCTCCCAGTTTCAAGCAATCCTCCTGCCTCAGCCTACTGGTAGCTAGGATTATAGGCACATGCCGCCATGCTTGGCTAATTGTTGTATTTTTAGTAGAGACAGGGTTTCACCATGTTGGCCGGGCTGGTCTCGAACTCCTGACCTCAGGTGATCCACCTACCTCAGCCTCCCAAATTGCTGGGATTACAAGCATGAGCCACTGCACCTGGCCAGTAATTAACTTCTAACATTCATAAGGTTTGCTCATTGTAAATGTTTTTGAGAGGCCATTAAAATTCACTAACAACAAAATTTAGACTGGGCCCAAAATCTGACCCTTCCTGAATCATATCTTTAACCTAGAAAGTTTATGCACTAAAAAAAAATTTATAAAAAAAGATATATTGGCTGAGTGAGACAGCTCACCCCTCTAATCCCAGCACTTGGGAGGCTGAGGTTGGTGGATTGCTTGAGGCTAGGAGTTTGTGAACAGCCTGGGCAACATGGCAAAACCCTGTCTCTCTACTAAAAATCAATGAAAAAAATAAGATATATTACTGACAGTGTGATTGAATCATTTCTGCTACCAACTATGAAAATGTCTACCATTAACAGCAGCAGTGACCAGCTTTGGGAACACGGATCAACTTTCAACCCCAACAAGCAAGCAAGCCAACTCCTATGATTGCTGAAGGGAAGACTCTAAAAGAGAGAGAATTCCTGGAGGTGGGAGCTCCCTGTTGGGTAAACAAACTGAGAAACTTAATTAACCAAACTTGCAAGAATAATCAATCTCTTTCCAATTTACAGTTAAAAAGAACTGGCATGCAACCCAAAATGTCAACTTATTACCAAGGAGATACTATCATTATCCCCATTGATGGAATAGCTTCCCAGTAACAATGATACTGGTATTCATTAACCAGGATTCTTCCTTCCCAGAAACAAGGAATCAGATTAGCAATGAGAAGGGTCTTTGGTGACTATCAAGCCAGAACACGGAGAATTTAAAGGTCTTGAAAGACATATCCTCCAGATATGAACAATCCAAACTGTCTCTCTTCCACAATGGAGTGTATCTATTTGGTGCAAAAGTAATTGTCATTTTTGCCATTAAAAGCAATGGCAAAAACAGCAATTTCTTTTGCATCAAGCTAATATCTAATCCCCAGACTATTACTATCTACCAAAGCGTATCTGCCATCTATGAAAAGTACTGGTAAATTCTGTAAAGATTCCTACTATATGTCAAGCCAAGGAACTATTATCTCATGCCAGAGAAATTACAAGTAAATACTAGTAGTAGTAACTAGTATTAGTATAGTACAGTGTACTAGTATATAGTATTAGTACAGTGTAGTGTATTAGTATATAGTATTAGTATCGTATAGTGTAGCTTTGTACACTACAGCTCCATGATAGAGATAGCTTACTGAGAATATGCCCCAGTTCAAGGCTGGCAAATATATAGCACATATGCTGCCCCCATCCGTTCCCATACCTTTGGCAGACATCACTAACTGATCACTACACACCTCCTTCTTCAGTCTTACAGCTCTTCCCAACACAGCTCTATATGCAGCACTACCAATCCTGACCCTGAGCTCCAGAGGAAGAATTAGGAAGCAAGTCATGTGTAGGCTTCTCACAGGGAGGTTAAGGACTACGTGGAACTAAGTGCATTATTTCAAGTTCATTTTGATAGTGTGCTCTTTAGAGGGTTAATGTTGTCTGTTGCTCTTTACTGTAAACCCCTAGGTCCTGACTACCAAGGGGTTATCAAGGGCTCTATGTTGGCTTTGTCTTTTCCCCCCTCCAGTGTTAAAACATGGAGATGCCTACGTCTTACTTACACAGAACGAACTGTTCACCATCATTTTGTCAGTGAATGCATGTTTTAGAAGTCAGTTACATATTTAAGCTTTCTTGGCTCTTTGCCACGTCCACTAGAGGGCGCCACTGAAAAGGAAAGGAGGTAAAACTAAAGGGAAGCCATTTTCCTTCTCAGTACCTTCATGCTGCCTCTCCTCAGCTTTACCATCCAGGGGAGGAAGTCCTCACCCAGTCTGCACTGCCTCTGGTGTATCACGGGTGTAGCCACTCCACACAAACGAAACATCTCTTTACCTTGCTATACTTGTCCTCCTCTGAACCCAAACACCCTTCATTCATCTCAATCACTTTCCCATGGACTTGTCTTCCTCTTTCCGTTAGACCCAGAGCTCCACAGGGCAAAGCTGGTTTTTGTGTCCCCATGCCACCATGGTGCCTGGCACAGAGTAGGTTTTCTACACACAGTTGTGTGTTACAGACCTCATATGCAGAAAAATCACAGGCCTTTTATTTGCGGTGACAGAAATGGAAACCATACCACCTTATTAAGTTGCAGCAAATTTTCCACAACTTTATAAGCATGTGCTTGGACCCTGCTCTCTAATTTTTCAAACCAGGAAATAATTCCCATATAGGTACCAGTTTTCTGCTCTTCTACACAGTGGAATTAAGATTCTTAACTCCTCATCTATAAGGCTTGATACAGAAGGAAACTCTGTTGTCATTTGGCCTGACGTTATAGCAGTTTTCCTTGAAGGTCTCACAAGAGAGCTTTGGGGACAACCCTCTCATCAAAATGATCTCTAGCTGCTCCACTTCTCCCACCTTGAAATCCTTAAAGTTCACTCCCCCACCCCCGTTGACTTTAATTACGTTCTTCCAATAGCCTTATAAAATTGAGCAAGTTCCTGAGAGCATTTTGAAAAGCCCTGCGAGCTCCCTGGTCAGCATTTTCAATCTCTAATTATAAATCTGTCTGATGGCTTTCACTTAATACTTCTAAGGTGGATCTGAGGGTAATTGATGGCTTTGAAACTAACTCTTCAACAGCAGCCATCAATGTATCAAGGCGTAATTTCTTTTACGATCTCAGAGAAGTTCCTGCAAGTGAAGAGGAAACTTATGTTATCATCCATCCTAGGAAAACAGATTTTATTAGCGTGTAGTGAAATATTTTTAAGAACATTAGAGCTTGTGGGACTCAAGAACTGACTTCACCTCAAACTTCCATTTGCATACCTGCTTCCAGGAAAATCTATTATGGGATGGCCTGGATATGTCACTTTAAAAATCCTGCCTTTAATGAACAAATGAGAAAAGGTGAGTAGTTTTCTCCAGAAAGAACATTTCTCTCACCCACTGCCTTCCTGGAAAGATAAAAATATGCTGAAAATATAGCATAGAAATAAAGGGGCTATTTTGAAACAGAGACCAAAACATTTTAACTCAAGAAAGAAGAGTCAGTGATGGAGGATTTCTTTAACAAAGGAGAGGCTTTACTTTTTGTTCAGAAAGTAACTCTGTTTCTCAGTCTTTAGTTGTGCCTTTCTGTTTATTAACTCTTATTCTAATTGTTGGCTTCTCTGTCTTCTCCTTGACTTCCCTTAACATTTCCATGTTACTTTGTTGGTACTCATTGTCCTTCTGACAAGCCATGTCAGTCCCTTCCACACTGCCTCTTCCATACAATGTATACTACACTACCATCATTAGCTCATTACAGATGCTTTGTTTATTCATTCATTCAACGAACATGTATTGTGGGGCTACCATTGGCCAGATGTGATGGATATAAACACAGAAAGCAATCCACACTCTCAGGGAAATTACGGTTCAGTGAGAACTAGACTGTTTAGAAACCATCTGGCAACATTACAAACTATATTATATTTTCAAGCTATATTCAAGTTATCAGGGACTGTCCTCACTCCTCCAAGTTTGAGATTCTGATTGGCTGACACATTTGCAACACTGACCTAGTGGACAAGATGTAACTATGATTCTTTGGCCTGAATTTAGAGGCCTTTAGTACAACAATAGTGCTGAGAGGGAAAGCTGAGGGAAGACTTCAGCAAAGAACAGATATAAATTCATAGAAGGACAGCCTCGCTTTCCTCTAGTACAACAGTTCTAGGGTAAGACTGTGCAATTGAGAATTAGACTTTTCTGGCAGCCAAGCTATATCAACCCTTCACAGGTTACCTGGAATAATTCATATTCCTTTCCTTAACATTCTTCCTGACCAAACTATCCAGGCCTAGCATAAACCTCAGAACCCACAGTGAGAGTCTGATAGTCACCTTCTTGCTCTGATATACTGTAGTAAGAAACCAATGTTTTTGTTTTGTTTTGTTTTTACGAAGTAAATGATCCTTAATTCCAAAAAGCACACTTGCTTTGGGTACCTCAAGAGGTGTCACTTCAGACAGAAGCCTACCTCCAAAGTACAGAGCAGAAAAAAGCTTTCCCCAAAAAATCACTCTAGATTTTACCTCTCCCTCAAGCCCATGTTTGAAGTCAGCATCTATGTGGTGCTAATGATTAGTAAATCAAAAGGCATTTATTTAATGGAGCTGCTTCAGTATCCAGCAGTAAGTTGCCTTCTGCCATATGGCTTTGGGCATGAAGTGGTTAAACTAGAATGTCTGGAGCTTCTGTTGCTGGCTATTGAATGGTGATATGCATCATGAGCTCGAGATGGCTGCAAATCTGTTTTCGGTTTGCATTCCCAGCAAAAAAGGACTTCTGGCCCAGAGGGGTTTAAATCCTCCTCCACTGATCACTGCGGCATACAAAATCACACGGATCCTGCATACAGTTAGCAGCTAGAGACAACTCAGTCCTAACTCAGGATAGAGACAGGGATGTTCATTAGGCAGCCATTCCCAGGGTTGAAAAACAAAGAAAATGATCATCTGTAATGACTAAGAAAGCAAGAAGAAGGGAAGGAAGACATAGCACAGAGCCCTTGAGATGAGGACAATTTGGGGGACAGTAAATAGGCTGCAGCCTGGACCTGCTCAAACACTATTCCATTGGCTGGAATGGGTAGAATCGCTACCTGGCACTGTTAGCATCTTCTCTGCCAGGTACTCTGGCTGGGCACTTTAACACATGTCACACATGCTGGGTGTGGTGGCTCATGCCTGTACTCCCTGCACTTTGGGAGGCTGAGGTGGGAGGATCACTTGAGTCCAGGAATTTGAGACCAGCCTGGGCAACATAGTAAGAACCCGTCTCTACAAAAAAATAAAACCCAAAAATTAGCAGGGCATCGTGGTGCATACCGTACTCCCAGCTACTTAAGAGGCTGAGGTGGGAGGATTCGTTGAGCCTGGGAGGTTGAGGCTGTAGTGAGCTGAGATCGCACCACTGCACTCCAGCCTGGGTGACAGAGCAAGACCTTATCTCAAAAACAAAACAACACAAAACAAAAATATGTCTCACCTCTTTTAATATTCACAGCAGCCTCTATCAAGTAGGTACTATACTATTATTGTCCCATTTTACTGATGACAAAACAGAGGCTCAGAGGACTTGAGCGAGTTGACCCCTTGGTCATAGCTAGTTAGTAGTGGAGTTGAAATTCAAATTCAAGTCTGCTGCACTGCAGGTCCCAAATTCTCTAACTACAGTCCAAGTTCAGCATTACCACCAGTTCCTTAGGTAAGAAACGCTGATAGTGAATACCACCATCAGGGGAATTTTCAGTTCCTTGTTTCTAAATATGATCAGTAAACTATGTGTGATCCTCATTGCAATGGGTAGACTTAGTCATTTGCAACAAATCTTTTTGTTGGGCTTCATAAAATCCAAAGTTAAGAGACCATTTCAAGTGCTGTTACATACAGACACCTGATCCAGCAAACCACACCTATTACCTACATGATCCCAGAACCCAGAAAGGGCAAAAGCAGATAAGTATCTCCTGTTCAGAATTCTGCCTCAATATGGCTCATGCCATCTTATGTGCTATCCATTATGTTATTAGGAATACAGACCAGTTCCTGTTCCCAAGAATCTTGCCTTTCTACTGGGGAGACTGGAAACAAAGTGGTCAGTAATACTCCAAAGTAGAAGCAATTTAATTCCTCCGTGGAATCAAAGTATGCTAGACATGCCAAGAATCAAAAGCGTTCAAAAGAAAGCCTTGGCTACTTTGTTACGTGCAAGACCAACTACCCAATTCAAATCAGAAAAGAAAATCTTGTTCATCTATTCAACTCAGCATGAATAAATCACTTAAAATTATAATTGCTCTGGAACTTTGGGTGCCTATGGGCAAAAAGTCCTATAGAGAATTTAATAAAACTGTAGGCATTGTATCAATCAATCCCTTTGGAAATTTTTAGCATAACTCAGGAGTTAGAAACTTCCTTCTTGCAAAAGACAGAGGCACTGTCTTACCCTCAGTCAACAGCCCCTTTCCTGATGGGTCCTGCTTCATTAACTTTTAACTGGTGTTTTTACTATTCAGTTTGTACTTTTAAACTTTTAAAGCTTTTATCAGATGTCCTTTGAAACCAAAAGCATACCATTAAGACACACACATTTCCAATGTGACCAGATTAAAAAAAAAAAAAAAAACCCTGTTCACAAAGACCTTGAAAGGACAAAGAATGTATTTAATGATAGCAACTAGCATGGCGCCAGTAATGAATGGTTCTGTTCTGCCAGTAATACCCAAAACTAAGGCAATGATTTTTTGTAAGCCTTGTTTTGCTTTAGAAACTTACAGTAATACACTTTCCCATATATTATCTTATTTTGTCCTTCTGACAACCATAGCACCAAGCAGAGTCAGTTTTATTATCCCCATTTTAAAATAAGGAAACTATGGTTCAGAGCATTTAAATAACAGAGCCAGGCTTACAGAAGCAGTAAGCAACAGAGTCAGCGCCAGGATTCCAGCTCCCTGGTTTCCAGCCCATTGCCATTTCAACTCAGCTATTTATATCAAACAATATAACTTCTATTCTTATGTGATCTCAGCAAAAGGTTGCAAGTCCTATTTGTCTTTGGATCCCTGGCACCTGACTTGGGACAAGTAAGAGTTTATGGTGGACCAGAAATAAAGACACTTTGTTCTAGTGTCTGTGCTTTTCACAGTCACTGTTACCAGTTAGCTGGGTTGGGCTAACACTAAGAAGGCCAAAGTTTCAGGTTTTAGATATGCATGGGACAGCAAGTTTTCTGGTATTCCATGGCCACATGATCTTGCTAACCTATCCCAAAAGAGACCTGGCAAGGCAATGGATAGATTGGTTAATGTACTCCCCTAATCCATCCTCCATAATTGAAATCAGGAAGTCATTCCTGCAACTGACTTTTTGGGAAATGTCCTTGCCTGTAGTCTCTCCCAGGAGGGTTCCGAGGCAAAGCCTTGTACAGTGGTAGCCACACTCTATCCCCAAGTGTTCTCCTCTCCTTATCTCAGATAAATGTGTATATGCACATTAATGCATTTAATTTCAAGACATTTCTAGATCCCCTAGGCCTGACTTCAGATTTACTAGGGACCCATGAGCCACAGGGCAATAAATCTTGTTTAAACTATGAGTTTATCTCAGAGAGCTATGGTATCATATTCATCTCTGAAGCTCAGCATTTAGTATGGGGCCTGAAATATAGAGGGCATTATATACATCTTGGTAGAATGATTGAGTGAATGGATCAATTAGTGAATAAGTAGATGAGTAAAAGAAATACAACTTGAAGTTTATGTCCAACTGACAGCACATTTGGAGCATCCTTTTCCTTCTTATGAAATACTGTATTAATGTAAGCTGGGTAGTATGTCAGGAAGCAATGCCTTTACCCAGATAGTGTTTAATATATCCATCAACATAATTGATGGGCACACCATCACATCTACATCCAGAGCTAGAAGGCCATTGTATCACCAGTTACTTACAAATAAGAACTAATAAGACCTTGGAATGTCTTATTCGCCTAGAAGAACAGCTCTACTTTCCTAGTAGATGTAGAAATGAAAAGCAACTATGTTTTCTACCTGAAATGTATGTAATGATTATTTTGAACTATAAGCTACTTTTTCCTAATATATAACTTGAAGGCAAGGTTATGTGACTTTGTACCTGCCCCCTTGCCCGCTGCCAATCTATGTGTGCTACAGATAGAGATATTTTAATTAAGCTTGTCTTGCGGACCATAAAGTTGGTAGAACCTACCTGCTCTTTTGCTTGTCAGGTGGTGGGGAAAATAAAAGGGAATTCGAGTAGAATATAATGATCTCAAACTTTAAGTATTGAAGTCATCATTTCAAACTGATTACATCTAAAAGTAAGAGTCGATTCTGTGAGCTATATTTTTTGATTTCTTAATTCGTGATCATAAAACTCCTATATAGTCGAGGCATAGTGGCTCGCACCTGTAATCTCAGCACTTTGGAAGCTGAAGCAGGAGGATCACTTTAGACCGGCAGTTCGAGACCAACCTGGGTAACATAGCAAGACCTTAAAGCTACTAAAAAAAAAAAAATTAGTCAGATGTGGTAACATGTGCCTGTAGACCCAGTTACTCGGGAGGCTGAGGCAGGAGGTTTTCTTGAACCTGGGATATCAAGGATGTAGTAAGCTGTGATCACACCACTGCACTCCAGCCTGGGCAGCAGAGTGAGACCCTGTCTCAAAAACAAAAATCAAACAACAACAACAAAAAAACACTCCTATATAAAAAGCTGTGCTTCAATATAAATCTTCAATAATTAGAACTGCAAGGTATGGCATACAACTGCAGTTTCCATGTACACAGTCTTCCCCTCCTTGTGGATCCCATGCCCTGGGGATGCAAGAAGAACGAGGGCCCAATTCACTCATAGTGCACCACTTACAGGGTTCCCTTTGTCTCAGCACTTCTTTATGGGTACCAGTGGCATGAAATATTGTATTGTGCTTCCATCCAAGGAGCACAAACATTCTCTCATTCCTATATTTAAAGCCCAGTAACAGAAGATCTATACTTGGCATGTGACATAGCTAACTCTTTTTTTTGAGATGGAGTTTCGCTCTTGTTACCCAGGCTGGAGTGCAATGGCACGATCTTGGCTCATCGCAACCTCTGCCTCCTGGGTTCAAGCAATTCTCCTGCCTCAGCCTCCCGAGTAACTGGGATTACAGGCACGTGCCACCATGCCCAGCTAATTTTTTGTATTTTTAGTAGAGACGGGGTTTCACCATGTTGACCAGGATGGTCTCTAGCTCTTGACCCTGTGATCCACCCGCCTCGGCCTCCCAAAGCCACCATATCCAGCTAATTTTTTTTTTTTTTTGTAAAGATGAAGTTTCACCATGTTGCCCAGGCTGGTCTTGAACTCCTGGGCTCAAGTGGTCTTCCCTCTTTGGCCTCCCAAAGTGCTGGGATTACAGGTATGAGCCACCGTGCCCAGTCACTTTTTTTTTCTCCTAAGTGTGATTCAGCATATTGCTGCTATATTCAGCATGTGCATGGGGTGAAGGACAGTGAAAAAATAATGTCCTGACTGGGCGCAGTGGCTCATGTCTATAATCCCAGCACTTTGGGGGGCCAAGGCAGAGAGATCACCTGAAGTCAGGAGTTTGAGACTAGCTTGGTCAACATGGCAAAACCCTGTCTCTACTAAAAATACAAACACTAGCTGGGCATGATGGCACATGCCTGTAATCCCAGCTAATCAGGTGGCTGAGGCAGGAGAATCTCTTGAACCCGGGAGGCGGAGGTTGCAGTGAGCTGAGATCACACCACTGCACTCCAGCCTGGGCAACAAGAGCAAGCTCTGCCTCAAAAAAAAAAAAAAAAGATTATCTCATTGTATTAGTCTGTTCTCATGCTGCTAATAAAGACATACCTGAGACTGAGTAATTTATAAAGGAAAGTGGGTTCCTCGACTCCATTCCATATGGCTGGGGAGGCCTCAGGACACATACAAACATGGCGAAGGGGAAGCCAGCACATCTTCTTTACATGGCAGCAGCAAGGAGAAGTGCCAAGCAAAAGGAAATGGAGAAAAATCCCCTTAAAAAACCATCGGTTCTTGTGAGAAATCACTATCATGAGAACAGCATGAGGGTAAACCCCATGATTCAATTATCTCCCACCGGGTCTCTCTCACGACACATGGGGATTATGGGAACTACAATTCAAGATGAGATTTGGGTAAGGACATAGCCAAACCACATCACTAATCCTAAGGATTTTCTTTCTTTCTTTCTTTTTAATCATTTTACAGACCAAGAAATGGAGCTACAGTGAGGTCACACAGCCAAGATCACATAGCCAAGAACTGGGATTTGAGCCTAGAATACTCTGATCTCAGAGTCTGGATGCTAGTTTCTTGCTGCCTTCCCTGTGTTATGAGGTCATGTCTAAATCACCTCCATTATTGAAAATTACTTATGAAAGGCCTATTCTGCTGGATAGAGCAATCACCTTAGTCAAGTATGATCCAAATGTTGCCACTAAATCCTACCCAACCCTATCAAAGGTCAGACCCTGGAGGTGTGGTAACTCCCTCCAGTTCGATTAAAAAAAAACCAAAAACACAAAAAACCAGTAGGTCAGAGTAAGGAGCTACTCTGAGCCAGCAGTGGGTGGGTTAAGTTAAAGAACAGAAAGATGTAACCTGACCCGGGACTTAGCTCTCATTTTCAGTAGGCAAAAGCTCCTTGCAGGATGATCTTGAGTCAGACCTGCAATTCCTTTTTTCTTTCCTTTTTGGAACGGCAATAACAATGTCTGCCCAACATCTACCGCTTTAAGTTGTTTTTTACAGTAGAACTGACACAGCCTTTTAAGCAGGCTCTGTGTGCAGAGTAACTCTCCCCTTGCACACAGAGCAGATCATCAGGTTCCCTGGAGCCCCAGGATCTTTCTCTAATCATAAAAAGGCAGTCTGTACCTCTAAATCCCAAATCCTTCCCTACCCTATCCCTGCTGCACCCAGCTGTGCAAGGTAAGTCTTAGAAGGTCATGTCCCCAACAATCCCACAATTTTCTCATCAGTATTCTTTGCTACTTCCAGGTATTACAGCATCACTGCTGTTTAAGATTAGAACTTAAAAACTTGAAAGTGTCAGGAAGGATGTGGTGCCTTGTCTCCACATCAAGTAAACAGCCCATGGCATTGGCTTCTGACAAGTGACAACAGACTCACAGGGCAGCAGTTGAGGAGCTGTGCTTACATGATACTTACTATCCTGAGACACACTGACATATGGGGATGCCCATACACAGGTAACCCAACCCCATGGACTCAGTCCAATGGTGAACACAAGAGAATCTCCAGCATTTGCTCAGCTGTCACCACCTCCGCAGGTGCAAGAAATGGCCGATGGTTCCAGAGGATGACTCCAGCCTCTTAAATAGAAAAGGGAGTGTGTTAGATCTCATCCAGCCAGTTGTAGGGAAAGGTGGCCTTTAAGAAACTGTGGTTAATGTTGTAAGGAAACAAGGCAGCTTTTGAAGCTATTTTCATAGCCTACAGAGAAATAAATGACCAGTGCTGAGGGCTGCAGACAGCAGGATGGGCAGCACGACCAAGCTCTGTATTCATTTTATTCTAACCTGTTGGGGCAGGGGAATTCATGGGTCCAAAGACTCATTACATTGTACATTGTCTGATTAGTCCTCCCAATCATCGATCCTGCTCTGGCACGAGATAGCTGTGTGACCTTCAACCAATCATTAACCTTTGAGCCTGTCCTCTTCTAATGTCAGGGTAAGAATTATCAACATATATGTTGAAATTCCCAAGGATTATGCCAAGAAATGGAATAGAAAGGAAGACAGTGAGACACGTTGAGGGGGCAGAGGATTTGGATAGAGAAGAGTGAGGCAGAGAAGCAACATAAATAAGTGGGAGAATATCGAGGGAGAAAAGAAAAGACAAATTCAATAAGCAGTTTCAAAGCATGAGCCTCAAAATAAATGTCTTTCTTCCTTGCAATATTACTGTTTTGAACCGGCTTAAGAAGCTAGACTATCTCCTGTCTGCAGAAAACAGACAGGATAACAGGAAACAGTTTGGGATTCCACAGTGATTATAGCTACTTAGGTTTGACTTACCAAATACTGTCTCAAACAGATGGTATGTAACATTTGATTAAGGGCTTATCCTGCAAGCCCAACAGGGAACATTTCTTTCTCTCTTAATATAGAAAAAATGTAGAGAAGAAGGGAAATAAACTGACAATCCTGCCCATATTCCATGTATACCAACATTTACGCCTTTTCTAACATGAATCTGGGCTTATTATGCAACTCAAGACCAAACTACATACTGATGACGCCATAGAATTTCAGTGAAGAAGGATATTGAAGATCATCCTCTACAGCCCCTTATTTTATAGATAAGGAAACACAGACACAGAATGATAAGATGATAAGATTGTTTGCCCACGGTCACACTGTGGCACATCTGGGACCAGGTCTCCTGATTCCAGATCTGGCATTCACATTAGTCTTTATATATGCGTAATGTTCAATATAGGGAAAACATACAAAGCTGTCAGCACCATTATTACTAAATTAGCACCAATCTGTGATGAGCAATTATCAGAACTTGAAGCTAATGGGTAATGCCATTCGAGTCCAGTTAATGAGCCAAAAGCTTGGTTCTTCAAAACACTTAGCATTAATCAGCATTTGGCTTCAGTTTGTGACAAGTGTTTTCAAAACACCACAGACAATTACAATATTCCTAGCTTTGCCTTGTGTAAATACATGATGAAAGAAAGTCAGAATTTCATAAATGACAGTCTCCAGAATGGAAATAATGAGTCCCACAGAGAAGGTACAATGCGTTCCTCTTTCTTGCTAGCCAAATGTGATTTGGGAACTAACAAGGTCACTGAGAGATTACTAAGTGTGAACTTCTACTGGGTGAGGATGAAAAGGCCTCTTTTCACAATAGCAAAGCAAAACTAGCATGTGAGATCAGCCCCATAAAGAGTAATGAAGGAGTGACCCCAGACTTCCTGGCCCATCAGCCACCCCTACACATACCTCCTTCCCCCGTGGTTACTGGCAATGCCTCAAAGGAGAGGGCTCCTAAGCATGGAGTACTGAAATGGCCATCGGGGCAGAAGCAGCAGCATTCCAAGAGGACTTGGGAACTCATTACACAGCAGCCTGATACTGGGAAAGTAGCAGAAGAAAGAAAACCAGGGAAAAAAACATGGTGGTTGGTACAAAAATTATGTCCTTAGCTCCAAGCTCCAGGTTTCCCAGGACAGTTCTTGCAGAATTTTATCCTCTAGGATTTCTGGAGCAGTTCGTCTATGATTGATTGATTGATTGATTTTCTGTAAGCTAAAAACATTAACTGTGGTTAATGTTAGGTTTTTCTGAAAGACAGAGAATTGCTTGATTAACTTGGCTTAGGGCAGCATTATTCATTAGCTAGTTTTATATTAATAAAAATATGTTAATTAACCAGTCATTGTTGATCACCTGGTTAATAGCTAATATTTATTGAGAAGTCACTGTGTGACAGGAACAATGTGAAATGTTTTCCCTGCATTATCTCATTCACTCCTCACCATGAGTCTTTGAGATAACAATCATAATTACATTCAGTAATTTATTCAACATATATATTCAGTACCTGCTTATCAATAGACAGTTCTAGGCATTGGAGATACAGCAGTGAACAGGCAGTTTCTCCTGTCTCTGGGATAGGTCATATCAGCTAACTATCACTGCTCAACAAACCTCCCCAAAACCTGCCAGCACAAAATAATTGACACTAATTATTGTTCATAAGTGTATGGGTTTCCCAAGTGGTTTTTCTGATTTTGATGGGACTCACTCATGTATCTGTTGCCAACTGGCAGATTTGCTGGTCTAAGTGGGTCTCTACGAGGAAGACTCATCTCTACTCCACAAGGTCTCTTATCTTCCAGCAGCTCTCCTAGGCTTATTCTTATAGAAAAGTCAGGGGTCCCTAGAGAGGGGCTGTAAATGTACAAGGCCTCTTGAGGCCTAGATTTGGAGCTCATACAGTGTCACTTCTGCCACATTCTTTTAGCCAAAGAATGTCATGAGACTAGCTCAGTTTGAAGAGTAGGGAAATGGAGTGGACCTCATGATGGAAAGAGTTGCAAAGTCACGTTGAAAACACAGGGTATAGGAGGTCATTGATGCAGACCATCTACCATATATATAATGACAACTAAAATGACACTAAGGGATTCATGGAAATATTCATTTGAGTCTCACAATAATGAATTATTCACAATAATGAATAGAATTTGCAAATTCTATTACCAGTCTCTGCTCCCCAGATGAGGAAATTGAGGCCTAGAGAGGTTACAAAACTTGTCTAAGATCTATGAATATTTGGTGATGGCCTCAGAGTTCAAACCCAAGACTCCAGTGCATAAGCACTGACTCACTATGTGATTCTCTCCAGCCTGGGCACTTTGAGAGAGAAAGTATAGGACATGGTCACTACATGCAAGACACAGTCCTATTGGGGATGGATAATGTAAGTCCCTGAGGAATCAGTAACAATATCTGTCTCTAACCCAAACTTGATAATTGCTCAACAAACAGTAAGAATTAAGGGTGTCGGGACAAGAGACAGAACTTCCATAAAGAGGTTCTCCAATAAACTGGCCTTTGTAGGGTGTAGTCAGTGAACAGCAAGAGGAGAATTTTCTGATAATGGCATCCTCTCACCTTCATGTAAGAAGACCTTATAGTATAAACTTTCTTTTCTTTAGAATGGCATTCAGTTCTGCAAGCAACAGAAAACCTGATTAACAGTGACTTCTCATATAGGGATTTTTGTCTGTCATGTGCAAGGAGTGTGGGAAAATGTTCAGGACTTTATAACAGTCAGATGATGTCATCAAGGAACCAGGTTCTTTCTGTCTTTCTCCTCTACCATTCTACAAACATATCCTGATTCCTGAGGGTCTCATAATGCCAGGATGGCAGCTGTATTCACCAGTATTCTTGTACATTCCCAAGTAGGAAGGAGAAGGAGGTGAGCATGCTAGCACATCCTGTCCACTTAACTGCTTTCCCATGATTTCCACCCATTGTATCCTTTTTACTCTCTTTGGCTAGAACTCAGTCATGCATAGCTGCAGGGAAAGCTGGAGAAGCTAATGTTTTAGTTTTCTGAAACTCTGTAATATGGGCAAACAAGAAAAAAAAAGGGCTGTGAATGACTTTTACATGATCAATCCACAGTGTCGATCCCAACCTACCCATCACCATCTCCCAGCTCTTTCCCCAGCCATCACCATGAACCAGCAAACAGAAGTCCTCTGTATTAGTTCATTTTCACACTGCTGATAAAGACATACCTGAGACTGGGTAATTTATAAAGAAAAAGAAGTTTAACAGAGTCACAGTTCCACGTAGCTGGGGAGGCCTCACAATCATGGTGGAAGGCAAAAGGCACATATTACGGGGTGGCAGGCAAGAGTATGCAAGGAAACTCCCCTTTATAAAACCATCAGATCTCATGAAACTTATTCACTATCATGAGAACAGCATGGGAAAGACCCGCCCCCGTGATTCAATTGCCTCCCACCAGGTCCCTCCCATGACACATGGGAATTATGAGAGCTACAATTCAAAATAAAATTTGGGTGGGAACATATCCAAACCATACCATCCTCATTCCAAGTGCACTTCAATCAATTGTTCTCTCGGCCCCCTTTTTTATATTCATAATGTCCTTTTGCCTTCATAGGCCATTGAAATTCTTCATGACTCTTCCCTGATCTCCCACAGCTGGCATGACCCCTATCTTGTGTTAGGCCCCTTAGTCCTTCTGCAGCTGCCCCTGCTGTAGCACAGAGCACATTCTGATTTCATTGTTTCTCTACTAGAATGCAAATTCTTCGAGTCAGGGATCAGATCCTGTCCAGTTTTCTACCCACTTTTAGCACCACATGCAGCTCCAGGCTCATGCAGACATGAAAGAAATTGAGTGAGCTTCACGATTTAGCACACAGGAGGATGAGGAAAATAAAGGTGGTGTAAATCATTGGGGGGCTGAAGGAGCTGTTGGGGAGGAAAGAAAAGGTCTCCTCTTCCCATTTAGGGCCTCTTCCATCTGAGCCTAAGAATTAAACTGACATACAATAGATTGACAGGAGAAAAGCATACAAGTTTTATTATAATTTTTATATATAAATATGGACCTCCACAAGAGAATGAAGGCCTGAAAAAATGACCAGATAGAAAGCTTCTTGCTTTGTTTGCCCAGCCTAGAGTGCAGTGGTATGAACAAAGCTCACTGCAGCCTCAATCTCCTGGACTCAAGCAAACCTCCCACCTCTGCCTCCCAAAGTGCTGGGATAACAGCTGTGAGACACCACGCCTAGTGCTTTTGGGCCTTTTAGACAAATAAACTATCAATTAGTGAAGAAATGCCAAGACAAAAGGGTTTTGGCCAGAGACAGTAAATTGTGAGGAAATGACCAAGATATATATTAGAAAGAACTAGAGGAAAATAAGGGTTATTTTTGTAACTTTGTTTGTCCAGATCCATTTCAGCATTGATTGCCATTCTCTGGTGACAAGAAATGTTCCCCTCTCTTTTACGGTTTAAAAAAAAAATGTGGAGGGGAGGGATGGTCG